TATTAGGATTAAATTTTATAAGTCAAAAGTTAATCAATTCTCTCCTGGTGACGCGCAAAAGGGGAAAAAATGAATGGTAATTATTTAATTAAAAAACTTCAGCATGTAGTAATTTCACTCCATATCACATTTTAGTAGAGCAAAATTGGGTGGTTAATGGGGGGCGTAGCACGTGGGTCGGGGGCGGCTTAGCGGTTTGCTGCATAATGGAGGTGAAAATTGTTGTCTCCTCGCCCCAGTTTGTGTTCCTGTGCAACGCTTCGGTGTTATGCGCCAGGCATTTACCCACGTATATATTAATAACGATTATTAACTATTTGCAAGCGTGGCAAGGAACAGGATCGGGCAACAATAACAACAGCAAAGGATAATGGCTGGCATACATGGTGTGTATGTTGGCATAAATGCGTATATTAAAATTCTCGAGCATGCAAATCTGTCGCGAGCCCGAGGGCGAGCCACATAATTAGTGTGTTTTAAAAACAATAACGCGCCGCAGGGGACTTAAATATGATATATAATGTCCTTTATGAACTCCCTCTTATGAAAATAGTTTTTAGGGAGTTATGTGCCCCACAGATCAAGGACTCTGTTTTGTTATTCTGTTCTCGATTATGGTTTTTCATTTTAAGCAGCGTGCTTTTTAAATTTTAAACTATAATTTCATTATAATATTTTTATAAAAGGGTCTCGTTTTCGAATTTCAATTAATTGTTGCTAAAATTTCTCCAAATACATCTTTGTACTATTTTTCTCTATTCCCCATCCGCTGCATTTGCGTTCCTGCTGCATTTTGTCAAACTAACACATCGTTTTCCGGTGCATAGTTTTGGCCAGCAGACCCAAACCGATGCCAATGACCGGGGTTGGATGGGAACCCTAATGGTCGCATAGGGCACGCACTCGCACACATGCAAAATTGTTTCCTGTTATTATGCAAATTTCTTCATGGCTCGAACCGCACCCCGCTCGCAGGCACATGCCATGGAAATAGTTTTCCTTTTCGAGGGCTTTGCATCCCGGAATTGACCTTACCAGAGCAATTAAGCCGCTTAACCCATGGCTGCAGCCATATTTTGCATCCCCATCCTCGATGGGACGTCGCCATAAAAATTGTTAAGCTTCATCCCATCCGCTTGACAACGAAAACGAAGCGAAAATGAAAAATAAAATTGGCCAAAAACATTTGGCCGTTACAGCTGCAGTTTGTCAGTCGTGGCTAAAGCTTCAATTTGTTTCCCTTCTACTCCACCTCTGAACGGTTTTGGCCCGCTTTTTTTGCTCTTAGCCGAATCGAGATTTTCATGCATTTTATGTAACGATCCGACCACCTACCGACGCCCCCAAACAGGTCTCTGCATCAATAATAGTTGTTTGGGGGTTGCCATCGGTGCACTGAGAAGAAAAACAGAATCCAATTTCGTTTGATTTTACTAAAGTGGATAAAGTGGATACTTGTCTGATTCCTCTTTCATGTCGTGGCACACATATTTCTGGTTTTAAAAACCGCATTTTTGAAATAAAAGTAAGAACAAAAAATTAAAAAATATTTTCACTTTGGTTTCACTGTGTTTGTTGGTTTGTTAAGGTCTGGTTTGCCGTTTGACTATGATTTTTTTAGTACAGGAGCAAACGACTCAAATTCGAAATTCCCAACACCCTGAGCACAGAGCTGAGCTTATTCATATTTTTTGCCATCCTCTCTCGTCCATTGATTTTGCCTGTTAGTTTTAAATTTGCCAAGCGAAAGGAGAAGCCAAGTCAAGCATCCTTAAAGGGGGAAAACTGTGCGGTGGCTTGTCTCGAGTGGAAGAGTGGTTGGCGAGATGACATCGGATCAGGAATTCTACGCCACGGAATGCACTGTAATTGGTTCGATAATATATACAGGAATTGATTTCCAACCAAGCCAAAGAGGTTGCCTCGATTGAGCTTTAATTAAAGACGAGATTGAGCTGCCACTCCAGGCGACAATTTGCGACCTGGTTGTTGTGGTTGTTGGGTTCGTTGTCTTTTTCCTTTGAGGAAAATTGCTGACTGCTGAGAGTAACTTATTGAATTAATAACAAGTTATGATTACTACAGTATTGGGATCAAAAATCAAGGGATTTTAAAAATATAGGATAAATGTAAGCTCTTAGTAGTTTAAACTATAAAAGTTAAATTATCTATAATAATTTCCATCAAGTTCAATAATAACCTTCTCGACTAATAGACCAAATATGTTGCTGCTAATTGAGCACAAGGAACAAAATCAATAAACTCTGGGAAAGCCACACCTTTCCATTGAGCTGACCTTGTGGTCCCTTGCAATTTAAATCACATTTGTGGCTAATACAAATTACAGCCTATTGTGCCCGATAGCCACTAATTTGTCCAACGACAATCCTTAAGGCCAGAAAAGGTCCAAAATAAATGACAATTTCCTCAAGCATTAAGACATTAACGCAAGTTTTGAAACAAACTGAAATGGAAATAATATTGTCACAAATTTGCAAGCACTCTCGGCATGTGGTTATTAAAAGTAAATCAAGTGCACGACCGATTTACATAGCCTCATACTAATTAGCCACTTGTGTACTAAGCCAGGTACTCAGCCACAAAAGAGAAGCAATTCTCGGCCCAAACCAAAACCCACCAAAATGAAGCAACAAAAACATTTTGCTGTTTTTCCGATTGTTGTGCGTGTTGGTGATTTTTATCGGTCTCTGTAAATTGTGAGTGTGCGGGGATTTCGGCTCTGTTCTGTGGATGGGCGGATGGGTGTTTTTGGGTAAAGTGAAGGTCCCCGGAGTGTAGTACAATGTCGTCGTCCACATCGAGTGCACTTGGGACCGGCTCGATAATGGCAGGTTAATAAACGTTTTTGTGCGACACTGAACGTATGGCGAGACGCAGACGGCCAGGTGTGGGTAGAATTTTTTCCTTCGTCCTTTTTGCATGGCTAATGTCGGATCCGGCCTTAGAAGACTTACCCGAAACACGTGGGCGGTCTGAACTTTCGATGCATGGCTTTTGTGCATATCACATGAATCACGGTTCAATGGGGATTATTTTCAGAAAATACATGGACGGTATTGAGCCAATTTAAAAAAGAAAAACTATAAAATGGCCAATGACCTTGAGGATGTGTGACTGAAACACAAAAAACTTTTTTAAACTCTGAAAAGTGCATTCAAAAAAATATATATACTTTACATTGAGTAAAAACATATTTGTAAAGAAACTGCTTTTATGTTCTTACTATTTCCTACCTCAGTGTTCATAGCTTAACTTCTTGTAATCCCATTTTTACACAACTTAAAGCTGGTGTTATATTGTCATCAGCCTACAGGGAAAATAGAGAAAGCTTACGGCGACAATCACTTGTCACAGCATCCACAGCCTACACAAAACTAGTGGGCCATACTACTAGTAAATAAAGCACAAAAAGGTATGCTACACGAAACAAATGCCAGGCACGTTGGAGGCATTTATCAAGAGTCCTTGCATACACCTACAGATGTCGTGTGGCAGGAAGGAGTCGGCCGAAAAAGGGAAAGGATGGAGCTGTGGAAAAGGATAACAGGCCCAAATCCAGATCGCTCCGAGTGACAAAGAGTCGAAAATTTCAGTCACGCGAAGGGCTTAAATGTCGTTTGATGTATTCGCCGTCATTTAAGTTTCTGTTGATGGAGTGGGCGATAGATATATAGAAATATATATATATATATATACACATAGAAGAAACATCAACTGTCAAATCCCGCTTTTCGCTATAGAGAGAAATGCCTACGACTTGGGACTAAAGGCGAAGGTAAATGCATTTGTGTGATATATTCCCCACTTTATTGACATGTGTCCTGGCAGTCTGCTCCTGGAACCGATTGACTGTGCCGAAGATGCAGATAAAACTCGAATCTTCGGCGCACGTCCAAGGGTTAAGGCCAGGTGAATGGCGGCGGTGGCAGCAACTTGTGTGATTTATTGAATAAATCAGTTTGGAAGTCCCCTTCCAGCAGGCGCTGAAATATTTATGTGTATGTACGTTCGACTGTGCGTGCGGTTTTTGAAATTTATGTGCGATGGTAAATAAAATGAGACCTCCAACAGCGGCGAAAGCCGCAAAGACGAGGCAATAAAAATTTGAAGTGTGTGCAAGGCTCGGCCAGATATAATCCCATGTAGTATGTTTGTTCTTACGCCAGGAGACGCTGACAGCATGAGTTATTGGCTTAAAGAACTGTGATTCGAATGTGGTCGCCATTTAAATCAAATTTTAAAATTATGAGGTGGTAAACAAAATCCTAGTTTGCTTGTTGAAGTCATAAAGAATAATTTATGTATGGAATTTATTTGCACTTTTAGAAACATCGTAAAATTCTCTGAATTATTTTATATAATTTTGAATGAGTTTTTAACCTTTTAACTAGGGAAATCAAAGTCCAATTCCTTTGTTAAATTGAGTACTAAATTAAAAGCACGAACTTAATTCACACTTTGAAAATCTGCTTTAAGAGGCTTAATTTTTTTTCCACTAATCTCGTATTTGTTTTCGAATTAACGACATTTCAATGAATTATTCATATTGATTTCATTGAATATATTTAATGTGTAATGTGTAAAAGAAATGACATAAACCCAGCTATGACATCAAATTTAATCACAACTAATTAACATTTGGGGTGTAAACCATTATTGATGACGTGCAAAAAATAGAAAAGCTAATACCAATAATTGTTGTTTTATCATAATTGAATTTTATTGTTTCCCTTCAATTTAATTTCGTAATTTCATATTTGGTTTAGTTTGTGATGGGTTTTTCATGATTTTATGTTTTATTTTGTAAAATTTTCATTTAATTTTACAATTTTATTGAAGTCATTAAATAAAACAATTATTTAAATATGCCGTTGGTTATCAAATCATAATTTGAGAGTAATGAGCAATTTGGCCTTCACTTTTTATATCGCATATGCATGATCATTTGTATACATTTAAATAATTTTGAATTCACTTACCTAATGTTATTGCCAGAAGTAGTGTGGTCAAAGCAGTTTGGTGGACAATTTGTGGAAACCGCATATTGCTGAGATTACGATTCGTTGCTGAAAATAACAAGGTGATTGTTTAGTTACTTAAGCCAAATGAAACTACAACATTTAATAAAAGAATAAAGGTATAATTTAATATTCATTCCTTTTACTATTTAATCTATTGTAAGGGTAAGTCTTTTAGCCGAAGAAAATCTTTAATTTTATAAGGAATTTCCATATATTTTAAAATTCAAAATTAAACCTAAGAAAAGTCCTAAAAGTGCTCTTACAAAAAACAACCACAAAATGCCGAAACGTTGTCTGACAACAACATAGGTTCTTAATGCGTTAAACTTTGGCTGCAACACGTAACTCTCGTTGGCCAATGCAACCGACTGGGCCGACCGGTTTCCTTGAGGCAGGTGTTGCAAAGTGAGTTTCTTATAGTCTCATACTTTGGGCCAAAGTATTGAAAGCAATTTCGTAATCAGCAGGAAAAGAACAAGGGGAAACTGTATAAAGTAATAACTATAAAGAAAACTGCAGCGATTTTCCTCGCCCACACATACACATAGCCATAGTCTGAGTGAAAAGTTTTCCACGGGGATGAGGATGTGGCCGAAGAACACATTGTTGCCTAACTGCACATCAAATGCTCCTTCCTTCGAGACTGTGAGCATAACATGTTTCCATAAATTCTTGGCTTTTTTTGGGAAGCACATTTAAAGTTGAAAATCGGATTATAATAATCCCCTGTCCGAAGGATTCGATGGAAGAACTTTAACAAGTTGTAATCTTTTATGGCAGCAAATTGTATTACAGCATCGGGCCAAAAAAGCCAAGAGCCAAGAAGATCTCGTATGCTCACATGGCCCAAAGACTCCACTGAATGGCCATTCGGTGTTCACTCCATTAACTTTGCAGAACCCTGGCTTAATTGCTTTGGCTTCATTAAGGTCAGCAGAAAACTAACCCACAAAGGGGGAGAATTGGGTAAAAAGTTTCCACTTTTTAATTTATGCATTGACAAACTTAAACGACGGAGTGCGACAAACAAAAGGGCCAAGTCTGTTCCCAATGCGATAAGCCGCAAACTGCACTTCCAGACGTTCTGCTCCCTTCTTTTATTTTCTGTAGACATTAAGACCAAAAAAAGGAATGTAATAAAAATTCGTTGTCCTTAAACCCATGTTCCCTTTGTTAATTGCATCTGGACCAAAGCTAAGTAATGAAGTGAAAGAAACAGATTCTCAAACCTCTTTCGTTTCCAGCTGAAAATCAATGCAATCTGGAGAGTTAGATTAAGCTTGGTGATTTTCCTTTTTCAACTTCTCGAACTAAATTTAAGTTTTTAAAGAGATAGGTAAAATTTACACACCTATATGATTTTAATTGATAAAGGCTGCCTTGCTGAAATGTCACTTTACTTATTTCTAAGCATTCTCTAAATATACTACAATTTCAAGTGGAAAATTTTAATTTTTAAACCCAAAAATCAAGTTCATAAATCCTTTAAGAGTCATCCAATCAAAACAGTTCTGCTTCCCTCAACCAGAGCAATTTGCAATTGCAATAAATATGTCCAGTCATCCTTACCAATTGCCATGACATCTGCTGCTGTTGAGTCTGTAGCATTTCACAGATTGCTCGATTACAAAACAACTATGAACCGGCAATACAATGGCAAAGAAATACATTTTTAAATCCACCAAGATAGATTGCTGGGGACTGAGAGCTAAATCAAAATAGGTTTGCTGAGAGAAAGAGGCCGATTAAACCGCTTTTAGCCTTCAAAGGCACACAAACACAAACATTCTCGTACACACAGATGGCGATGGAGTTGCCCAGAACTTGTGAAAATTGGTAAACAATTTATGTGGTCAAATAAAATTGCACCAAACTGGAGCAATGCAGAAGCAGAAAAGCCAGACACCACAACAGGAGCAGAAACAAATTTATGACCGCTCAGTCCAATACCAGAAAATTCGCAAAAACTTCCGCCACAGAAAAAGGAATATTTTGCAATATGAACAGAGGCGCAGTTGGCAGATATGAGTAAAACCCAAATATTCTGGGGCATTAATTTATAGCAGAACTCGAAATGAAATCAGTAACAGGACATGTATTTTTAAAGAGAATTCGGAACCGTTGCTGACCATTTCATAAAGAAGGAGTTAAATTTCTCATTCAATTTATTTAAACTTATTTTTAAAACATCAAAATTAAGTAATATTGAAAAATAAGGTACTGAATTATATCCTTCTAGAATTCTTGTAAGGCAAACATATTTGAAGAGACCATCCAAATTTCCTCCCTTATAATTTCACTACCCACGCCCCTGGGCATCGGCAATAACTGCATAGATGCAGATACCAAAAGCCCAGGAGAAGCCCGAAAACTGAAGTGAGTATGTAAGGGGGCAAAGGAGGGGCCATTCAAGGATATAAATTACATGCTTAGCTACTCAGTACTTCCCCTACCCGATTTGCCCGCTCATATGCAAAAGTTTTCCCCCATTTCTTGTTTTTTTTTTTGGATGTTGTGCAGTTTGGGATTTTTGTTGCAGAGATTATGAAATAAATTTCCACATGCCACAACATTTTCGCAGCCACAAACGAACAACAAATATGCTAGGTACAGATACCTCTCCTCCGGTCGGCGAATGTTGCACTTGAGATGCGCCTTTAGCGCCAAAAAGTAGGCAACGGGGCCCTAAATTACACAAACACTGCCACAGTCAAGGGAGCCACTCCAGATCCTCGAAGTCGGAGAACCAGTGGCCATGCCAATAACAACAATGGATTTGCATATGAGATATTTTTCAATCGCCCCAACGTCCTTTATACCGCCATGTTTTCGTATTTGTTGAGGCAAAGTTTTAGTCCGTATAAAGATTTTTGATGTCGGGTGAAAAAAAGTTGTGCATCGAGACGGTGGAAAATTTGTAAAGTTTCTTTCGTTTTCAATCCATATATCATATCCATAAGAGATAAGAATTAGCACTGGGAGTTGTACAAAAGTTTTTAGCGAGGGTGCAGTTTGCGCTGAAAAATTGATGAGAAATCTCAAATAGCCTTGAAAATCGATTGTTTGAATGTTCTATTTAATAAGTGAAAAGTATCGATGACTCCTATAACCATTTTTATAATCCTTTAAATATTATTTGAAAATATTTGTATTTAATATGAAGTGAAAATGTAACACATACAGCCGACAAATTTCATTGAACTTTTAACCTTTTGTTTGCAAAGTGGATTTCGAAAATATTTTACTAAATATTATACTTAAATTAATTGTTCAAATAAATCTTTGAAACCCAATCTAAATGCATACCAAAACAGAGAGCTAATAAATAAATCCATTAATTGCATATGCTGCATGACTTCATAACCATCCAGGTAAGTATAACTAAGTAATACGAATCCTAATTGAATCAATCTTTGACTGCGTCAACAGTGTGTAAATAAACGCTTAAATGGGATGACGAAGCAATAATCTGCCAGCAATTACCTGTAAGATGAGCAGCAATGATTGGATAAATAAATATGACCGTAATTCTATTTAAATAAATAAGAGCCAATTAAGACGAAAGCAAAATAGCTAGCCACTTACGAAAATTCCAATATTTCGTTGAAAATATTCGCAAATGCGTGAAAACTAATTAACATCAACGTCTGATTAAGCCGCTCTTTCGAATTTCTGCCTGAGTCTGCCACCTTACAACGTCCTCTTTCATAAGCCACAGCCGGTGCAGCCAAACCGAACAACAAAAACCAAGAAAATAAAAGTCCAAGGCTATAAGAGAAATGCCTCGCCGAGAGAAGAATGCGACACCGTTGCAGGTGGCACTAAAAAATGGCTGAAATTCCTCTAGCTGAACAGCAACCCGGAGAAAGGGAGCCGCGGGTCATCCGCAGCTCAGATCAGGACACAGCTCATTAAACGCTGGTCATAGTTTGACTCTCTCTGCGGATATTACACGGGCAAAATATATACATTAAGAAGAGCTGTCAGAAGGACACCAAACACCATTAATATAAGACAATAAAGCGCCTTATAGAGAAATGTAGATTTATTGAAAATTTTGCCAGGCTAAATATTCTTTCCCATAAGATGAAATCATTTTCAAATTTAAAAGTTTTTGTTTGCCTTTTTTTTGTTGTTAGGCCAAATTTACTGCCATAGTCTTTTAATAATAAAATTCTTAGATAATATCCCAAAGCTTTTGTTTTTTCACAGTGTGTTTCTGTTTGCTTGGTCCTGTTGTTATTTTTAAGCCGGTCGAAGGATAATCCGAAAAGGCTGGCGACGACTTAATGCGCCCCTTGGCTGTGCTAAATAGCTTTCATTATTTACTTTATTCTCACATAAAGCGTGCGAAAAAGTTTGGTCCAAGCCATTTTTACGGAGCTGGAGAGAACTCCAGCAGCAAAAACAGAGCCGGATATGGAAAATGGCTAAGATAGAGTGGAAAATAAATGTTCCTGCTCGAATGGCTAAAGGTTTTCTCGTTTTGTTTCGAAACTTTTTTGACTCAGCTGTATGTGGACACTTGCCGAGGCTTTTCCTTCTACTCCGTCTCCTCCTCCCCGGCAGCAATAAATCATTTCACATATCAATCAGTCAATCAAATAAATGTTTGACTGCCGCCCAACTGGCTGCCCGCCCTTATCCGATATTGATTGTCCCACTAAATACAATTTTTGCCTAGTCAGTCAGTTGCCCAAAAGTAAGAAAAGAAAAATTCAGCTCGGCAGTTGACATTTTCCATCAACAAAAAATGGGGAAATTGAAGAAGCAGAGACGAGCCGAGCTCAAGACATTGTTGCCTAGTTCCCCGGCACACTATGGGAAATGTTTACCAAAAAGGAGGAGCCCGGGGTCTCGGAGACACGCTCCTTGGCAATTGACAAGTTTTGTTTGCTTGCTGGATGAGTCCGGGCACGCCCTTCTGTCTATCTTCCGGCTTATCTTCCGCTGGCTGAGATGTGAAAGGTTACCCAGAAACCCTGGAGTCGTGAAATTGGCTTGCCAAGTGCAGGGAAGTGGTGCATCAAAAATTAAACGTCGCAGATTGCGATATATGTAATTACAGACGAGCAGAGGATTTTTCAAAGTGGGAGGTTCATTGAGTTACTTTAGCTGATCTTGTATGACAGCTGATTTTTAATCCACGTTCTACATCATAAGCATATTTTTATTCAATTTTTGAGTTTATAAATAAGAATGCTTAAATACTGTTAGTATGTAATTTGAAAAACGTATTTTTTTTGTGATTTAAATAATAAAATATGAATTTTTGAAAATCAAGAATCAGCCCTAACAATATTCTTACAGTCTGATTCTTATTTAAACTTTTCGCCCATAATATCCCGAATGCTTAAAGTATGTCATAGTTAAAAAAATTGTATTTACCTTCAGGTTATGTTAAACAATGTGTTTTCTCTTACTATTTTTCTAATACTTTCGATGTAAATCGCTAGTTATATTTCACATGTGTATTTGGGTACGATTTTTTGTTTTGCTTTTCCCTCTTTTCGGTTGTCTGGCTGTGCACAATTTGGCAAACAATTTTATTTTATGCAATTTTTGGTTGATTTATCTGCGAAGCCTTTAAGGCGCACCGAACGAGTATCCCGGGTGTCCTGGCGAACGGGGATTTGGATGTTGGCTTTGGTAGCGAAGCTCCTTGTTGCTCCTTTTTCTGTCCACCTAAGCCGCTTGCTCCTCTCGATTTTGCTTCTTTCTCGTTCCTTATCTCATTTCGCGTATCACGGAACTCGTTAAAATCACCTTAGAACACGTGACTGCACAAACACACACTCGCATACACGTTCGGTGGGCAGAAGCAACAGCCTTACCCACACGCAAGCACTCACACTGTTTGGGACTATGGCAGATCCTTCGGTGGATCCTTTTTCCTATTTTTCGCTTTCTGTTTTGGTAAATGCTATGTCAGAAACACAAAAACTGCATCGTACACACACACGCACACCAGAGCAAAGAGTTCAATTCTGCGGTTTCAGTTCAGTTCAGCTATTTTTTTTGGTTCTATTTTCTCTTGTTTATTTCCACTGTTTAAGGTCCCGATGTTCGTGATACTTCGAGAGCTAAATGATCTACGCACGTCCTCACGCAAGGACAACGCAATGTAAACTGCAGCAGGAGGCACCGGATTCGCGTCACTGCGAGTCCTGTGCACAGATTTCCCAATTGGCGAATGGGACACGAAGGCAGTTCGGAAAATCCGATGTCCTTCGGCGGAAAAATCACGAATGGAAAAGCGAGGGGAGAGAGAGTAACATCGTGGTAGGCTTCATAAGCTAGAAGTTCTTGTATCTAATTCACTGCTTATTTCCCCTTTGCACTGCTTGCGAAACACTGCTCCCACTGTTAGGTGTTACCCTGTTTCACTGCTTAGCACACTGCTTGCATATACTCACCACGATTCCCCTTAAAAACAACGTTCAGTGGACGGAAAAATAGATGTTATTTGTAAATGAAAAATTAGAAGTGTATTAAACATACTCATTTTAAAGTAACTAAAATTTCAGAATTTGTGCTTTTCTTGGATTTTTATATATTTTTTTAATCAATATTTAAAGAAAATATCAAATGGCAATATTATGAAAACATGGTAAGTGCAGAATACTTTGAGCATTATAGGTCCTCTGTGCTTAATTTATATATATGGACATTGAACTCAGTACAACAGATAACTATATAACAATTTACTTACAAAAAATGAAATCAACGTTGACGAATGGTCGAAATGGCGACTCCCCGGCTGGTCAGTGACTCCAAAACCCAATTCATAATTGTAAATCAAATTGCTTGCCAAAAAAGTCAGACAAAAGCCTACTCAAAGCACTTAAGTGGAACATAGCTGTAGCCATGTAAATGACCGCCAGTCTGAGACCGAGATGGATGCAGAAATTAGTTGCCATTGGCAGAAGCACTTTGCGCCCAAAATGTCATAATCATAAAAATTCGCAATTATGCTGATGACCGCAACAACGGTAGCAACAACCGGCAACCGGAGCAAAACATTTCCAGTTCATTAGCACAGCCACGCCCCTTTTTCGCCCATCTTCTCTGTGTGAGGGCACACATTCGATTTTGTTGTCCTGGAAGTAGTTTCTTGGCACGACTTTGAGGTTGAGAATAATGCAATACAAATTATGCAGACAACTGGAGACAGTAAAGTCATTAGCCTCTATTCGTAGCTGTCTGCTGAGACAGAGCTTAGTATGGTGGTGTATCTATAAATATATATCTATAAATTGATTTTATAAATCTCAATCTTAAAACAATTTGTGCAAGTATGCCAAAAGTTGCAAACACAAAATATATATTTCACCAATTAAAATTCGAAGATTACAAAGTAGTTCAGTCCAGAAGATACATTTTTAAGCCGATAAAAATATAGTTAGAAAAGCCTCGACTTCAGGTTGTTTTCCATAGACATCAATTTATTCATATCAAATGTTTATGTGTGACTTTTTTTGCTTATCACTTAATACATGTGTTGGTTTTCTTTTTAGGTTTTCCTATTTCAGTTAGTTTACAAAAATTCATTTCTTACAATAAGTGATTTCGTTTAGTTAGATTTCATAAATAATTCACAATATTTTTGTTTAAGACGGTTTCTCTGCTTTCTACATAAATAATTTCGAAATAAATTAATCGCTTAAAACAAAGGCTACTACGATCTATTGGCAAATTAGGCAACCTGGGCACTTTCCCGCTTGCAGCTCTGCTACTTGGAATTTGAGTACAAATGCGAGTATAAGTCAAGGTCACGGCTGTGTTTTCGGGAAAGTCAATCGCCCAGATGCCTTGCTATTTTCTTCGTGGTTTTTCTACAGTTCTTTTTTCGTTCCGATTTTCCTGATCTTACGACTAGCAAAATAAATGGGCATGCAAAAAAAAAAGATAAGAAAAAACAACCCAGGTGATGGGGCGAACAATCTGGAACGAATCACCACTGGTTGGAGGGACGGCGCTCAGCGCCCGGGGCCGCACTTCCCGAAAATCGCGGCGACGAGGAGTTCTGCGAGGAGCTGCTGCTGGGCATTGTGCTGCAGGCCGCCTCGTTGGCCAGCAGCGTGTGAATGGCCGCCAGCAGCTTCTTGCGAGCTCCAAACGCCGCAATACCCAGCTCCATCAAGTTGTCCTCAGTCAGCGTGGTGAACACCTCCAGGTCGATTTCGTTAAGCACGAAAATTTCTGCAAGGAGAAATACGAAAGCTTCAGTTTTACACGATTCATGCCTAATAAAAAGACAAATATTTTTTCAAGTATGTAAAAGAAAAACTCTCCATTCTAGTCAAGTCACAAAAGTTTGCTTTATCATCATCAGGTCATCTTATGTACACAGTTAGTAAAAACAGACAATCGGTGGGAATTACTCACTGATGTAATGCTCCAGACCCAAACTGGTAAGTAGGGTCTGGATGTCCTTGTGCTGGGTGAGCTGCATCCGTCGGTTGACTGGAGTGGCATCCAGTAGTCCGGTGGTGGCACTCAATCCGTATGGGGATCCCAGTCCTGGTGGTAAGCGCCATCCATTTGACGACCCACCACCGCCTCCATTGTCCCCGTTTTCCAGCGGGGCAGGAGCGGGCGATGTGCTGCTCAAGCCCATTCCCATCCAGGCGGGCGTGGGTGTGCGCAACTCCCCCGCCACCGGAGTGCGCTCCATGGCTTTGTAGCCCAGGGCACGTTTCATGTCGAAGTCAAAGGCACGATGGCTGTTGTGCTTGTTTCCTCCAAGGTCGTAGTGTAAACTCCTATAGCTCTCGGCACTGCCGGGCAGGAGATGGGCTCCTCCGCCCGAGGATCCACCTCCACCACTGGAATTTCCCAATCCAAGAAGTACTCCATCGCTGAGGCGTCGACCCAGCCGCGCACCACCTCCTCCTCCGCCAACACCACCACCACCTCCCTCACTACCATACGTAGAATCCGGCGAATAGTGTGCCCGATTTTGACATCCAGCCGTTGAGGATGATGTCGAAGACACGGTTCCAGGTAGATTTGCAAACGGAGGATATGATTGCTCCAGCGAGGTGGTGCTGCTGCTGAAGCTCTGGTAACCACTGGTATTCTGGCTGCAACTGTTTCGCGGTGAAACAGTTGGCGGTTTTAGTGGAGCTACCGCTCCAGGAACCTGCAGATAGTTGATATTGTTGTTCTGACTGCCACCCACCATCGAACGACCCTGACTCTGCTGCTGGAAGCTGTTGTGTAGCTGCATGTACTTCTGGGTGGGCGCACATATCCCGGTGGGCGTGGCCAAACCATTGGCGTTCAACAGCAGGTGATTGTTGTTGGCATAAGGCGTCAGTTGGCCAGTCAAAGCGGGCGGCAGCAGCGATGGAGTCTTCGGGCTGTCCACATAACCAGCCAGCAGAGCTGTCAACTGGGTGCGATACGCCAGGTTGAGGTCCTTGTCCTTGGGCATGAAATAGTACTCGGGAATCTCGGGCTTCACGAACGGCGTGGCTAGACGCAGGATTTCATGGCGGGCCTCGTAAATTTTGTCTAGTAATGGATGTTATAAAACATTTTTGAAATTATTTAAAAAAATATTACACGTATTCTGATCGAAGGACCCACCTATAAACTTCTCCACTCCCTTGACCACAATGGCCAGAGTGCTCTGCCGCTGCTTTTGGCGCAAAGTAATGTAGACGCCGTACTTGGTGTTCAGGCTCATTATCTCGGAGGCATCATTCTGGTTGTCCGGAAAGTCAAATATCAATGCTACGGGCAAATTGCCAAGCAATTGTTGTCGCGCCAAGTAGACGTCGTCGATGCGGCCGCTGATCGTGACCTGGGACTTCTTCAACGGCTTCACATTCATGTCGCTCAGATCGGGAAATATGATCTTGGTCTGGGTGCGCTCCATTATGCTAAGCAGGTTCACGTTGTTCTTGCCCTTGACGATCTCATGATGCTGCGGCGATATCTCCATCTGGACATTCACCAGGATTTGGCTCTGAAACGGCGGTGGAATAAGTAATCAGTGCAAAGAGTGATTGCCTCTATAGAACCTACCGCAATGCTCTCACAAGCAAAATTTATGAGCAGCTGAGTGGCATCCCGAACCTGAGCCGATTCCTTCTCAGAACCTTTGACCAAAACCAGCGAGGTGTGCAGCTTGGGACGAGTCGAGAATATGACCTGAAATGGGATTTAATTTTTATCAATATGTTCTCTCATATATTATCTTGGTTTAAGGGGCACTCACCTGCACATTAAACTTGGTCTCGATCATTTTAATGTAGGGCGTCTCGTGATCAGGCTGCGGCTTGGTGGGTCCCATCACGGGCATCTCGAATGAGATGAGCAGCGGAGTCGAGAGCCGCACAAGGGACCGAGCCCGTTCAACACCCTCCAGACTGCCGCACAGCGACACCTGGTTGGACTTCTCCGTGGGATTGGAGCGGTTCGAGTCAGGGAAGTGGATATGAGTGTGGGTGTCGTCCATAATGCGTTTAATATTGTTGCCACCTCGTCCGATGATGTACGAATGATCCGTGTAGCTAACGTCCATTTTCATGATCACTCGGGTTCCCTGCTCAGAATAAATATTATTTGATTGATACTGATTTGGATCTCTGTAAAAATATACAACCCACCCTCGAGTCTAGGCTACTTAGAATGCGCTCCTTGGCCCGCTGCACTTGCTCCACCTTACCCACAATTCTCACATGCGGATCTTTAGATAAGAGGCTGTATTAAGTAAAAATTGCAAGATAAAAAATAAGAATCTCACCCTTCTTGCTCTTGGCACCAATTTTGAGTCTGCAAGGCCAGCTCACATACGTATCCGTCGTGTTCATGATCTAGTAAAACAATATATATTGGATATATGAAGATTCTTATATATCAAGTCAGAAGATCTCTAGACGGTCCTAACAGTATCTTAAAACTAGTTGTGTTATGTACTGAAATTTGAGGAACAGTCGGAATGCCAAAAAAAGACATGGATCATTTAACTTAAAAATTTTGCTCAAAGAGTAAATAACTTAAGATACTAATGAAACGAAAACATATTATTTCGTGTATTTTATTTTATGTTTACAATTTATTAGGCATGGCACACTATGACTATGTTTACTTACGTCATGAAAGAAGTACTCGGCTCCATTCATTCCCTCGATGGAGCTCTCCGCTTTAAGAAATATTGATAATTCCAATATCATATATACATGTATATATATAAACTGACCTTTTATTAATTGCTCTAGTTTCTGTCGATCAACCTTGAAACGTTCGGTGTGCAAATCGTCTGGGTTTTGAACACCCAACTTCAAAGCGATGGCGCGAATGTCACTCCAATCGCTGTCTACCGAGGAGATCTCGCTCTGGGTCTCGCTGGGTGCTCCACTGCCCACAGATCTGGTCGATGGCAGGACCTGAAGGCTGGACAGAGAACCCATGGATCCAGCTTCCACGTCCAAGCCAACCATCGGCAATTTGGAAACATCTGTGGGCGCCGGGTACATCAGTTTATTGAAAGAGGCACAGGACATCATCGTAGGGGTGGTATGAGTGGATCAGTGGGTGGGTTAATGAAGCGAGAGATATGTCAGAGGTCAACAAGTGCGGGTACCGAAGAAGAGTCGTTTAGTTTTAAAAACCAAGCAAAACGTCCGTCTCAGTTAGGAATTCTGGATGTCGAAGCGCTTTATTTGGTCAGCTTTGCTTGCTGTGGAGTGTAGTGTATCTGGGTGATTGATGAGATGAGCTGGCGATGAGTATGTGAAAAGTTCAAAATGATGAATTCAAAAATATATCGTCGAATATTGAATTATTAAGTTTTCATTGATTTAAATTAAACGTTAGTTTAATGTTAAAATGATAATTAAATTTTAATTAATATTTGTATAATCACTTAACTTATATTCACGAAAAGTATTGCCTCAAACTTTTTGCCGAAATATCAAAAGAATAGAGAGCACGAAGGATAAGATTTAACAACAAATTAATTTACATTCTAACTATAAAACCCTATATCCATGTAGTAAGTGCATAATCAATTTTGTTAGTACTTATTATGAGTAATAGGCCGGTATTTAAATAATAGATAATTTGCCTTATTATAATTTCTAAACTTTCTTGCATTTCCTTTTGACATAACCTCTCAAAATGGAGTGCAGCTGCCATGAGGTTTGCACTTTCCCCTTTCTCCCGTACACCCGAGAACCGTAATTTCACTTCCACTTTCACTTTTCGCGGCTTAAATTCCAATGGCGTGACTTACCACTTACAACCCACGGGAATCTCTACTTGAGGTTGAAAAGGCCCTGGAGATCCAGGCAGAGGGCATGCGTAAGGTCCTGGACGAATTGGATAGCCTCGACGAGGCAGACGTTCATAACAAAATTACGTATTTGTTGAAATCTCTCGACGAAAGGCATTTAAGATGTGATCTGCGCAATATAGACCTATATATCAGTATATAGCTGTGTGATTGCGAGAGGGGTCTGTGGGGTTTCGTCAGAATATGTTTTGGAAAATGTCTCTGATTCCTGGGCAGGGCTTCCACTTCTAAGTAAGGCTCGAAGGCAACTGAACGTGGCTCTCGATTTTGCCCACGACTTTGCCTGCTGTTCGACTGGCATTATTTCTAACTGTAGAACGGATGAATTCCGCATATCGCTGACAGGAGAAGATCTGGCGAATATTGTTGTTGCTGGGTCAATGAACCGCTCCCGAAATGAATGATACCAAACCTCAGAGAGCGAAAATCAAAACAATAGAGAGCAGTTACAGAATTCTAACAGCTTTCCTTCCAATCGACTAACAGCGGTTAGAATGTTGCCATGTAAGTTTGAAAATGTTGCTAACCGTTTTCATTCATTTTGGCGCCAGAAATATTGGGAGAGGAATACGAGGCGAAAAGAAACCGATTTTATTCCCGCCAAAAAACACGCCACTTACCGCAATTTTAGAGTTTCGGATCGTAGCACAAACACATAGATATCTCAGGTTAGTTCACTTAAACACAATCAATTGTAAAATCATTTCGACAAATAACACGCTCGTTTCACGTAAAATAATTATATATTCGCTTGTTAATTAATTTTGTGCGCAATTAATTTTCCGTCAATTGGTTAAATTAAGGTTCGAATGGGAATTCGGCTGGCAGTCGATGTACTTTTTTCAATGTAACCCGAAAAAAATAACCACTACCGAAGTGCGAGTAACAGAAAAACACCACGTGTGTGTGGGAAACACAAAGGGAAAATGCAATGGAAGTTGAATGAAAAGCGAAATTGAATTGTTGTCAGGAGATCGTGCACTGCGCTTGAGTTTTGTAATATATTTTTATGAAGGTTTCTATATATTTGATTAATTAATAAATTATAAGTCCGCGCCGTGCAGTTGTCGTAATTGAAGCGCGCTGACTATCAAACTAAGCTCGTCTTGTGGGTCCAAGTCCCAACTGACCTTCAGATCTAAAAGCTGTCTTTTATATGGGAAGTTTAGTTCTGTTCTATTCAATGCAGCAATAATCTTGTAAAGCTCTCAGTCAGCTGGATTTTTGGGATTCTCCAACAGTTCTGCAACGACAGCGCCAAATCGGAGAAATGGAGCTTTGTAAGTATCTGAAGCTCCCCAGATGGCGCTTTAGGAAAATGTTGTTACACTGAGCTAGAAATGTATACATGCTACATAAGCTAGCATTTTCCATTACCATTTTAGCCATGGTCTAAAAACTTTTAAATCAAAAAAAAAAATTAACAACGTTAAAACACGTCCTTAATCTTTATTTAATAGGGGGTTACTTTATTTCCTCGCTGCGTTTATTTTTACATCACTATTTTGTTTTTTTTAGAGCTTATTATTACATTTATTCTGTCTTTACACATTTTCGATTATTTAATGGGGATATGAATATATTATATTTAATGCAAAATGCATTTGCTTCTGTTTTTGATTCTCATTATAAATCTAAGACTTATCTGTCTCCCTAGCAGCTAGCAACGTTTACTGTCTCTTATGCTATTTTTATATCTCTTGGTTAATATCTGTAATATTTATTCAGTAACATCGAATTTGTTATTTTCACTTTTCTATATACATAAAACTAATTTTTTACATTCTTATATATCTCCTGTTCATTTAATGGCTATAATTGAAACCATATTGAAATTAAAATTGAAATTAAAGCTCCCCTTTAGTATCTCAATTGTGTAATGGGCATAACTTAGGGAAGACGACTTTCACAACACGATTTGATTATAGAAATCTAGGCGCATGCATTTTATTATTTTATTATTTTATGCTTATATATTTGTATTACTTGTTTTCAACATTTACACCAATTATGTTCTTTAATTTTATTTACATTTTACTTTTTGAATATAATTAAATTTCTTTTATTATAAATCATTTAACTTCTATAACATTACTTTCCAAAAAGCAATTTGTTTTGATTTTTATATTATTATTTTTTTAACTTTACATACGTGTTCTTTTATTTAGTTTTTAGATACCAATTTCATTACATTGATTTATTTTCAAGGTAAAGGAACTATTTACCGCTGGATTTTTGTTGGCCAAAAATGTTGAAATAATCGTTTGTTTTCTTTGAGTTTTAATATTGCCGAAATAAGAGTTGAAAATAAATGTTCCTTTTCTTTTTTGCTTGTCCTATGTATTTGCTGCTCTCTACAAATAAATGATTGCTACAATAATTAATTTTGCTTTTCATTTCCACAACCGTAAAAAGTTCCTTTCTGTACAGTGGATGTTATTTAAAATTACATTTGATTTTTGTTTTAAACTTTATATTTACACATTCAAATAATGCAGTGTCTTCAAGCCAAAGACGAATCATTAATAATATCTGTTTTTTAGCTTGAGTTGTTTACAATGGTTAAGCTTTCAAAAACACTCTTTAAAATGCACTACGGTACCCGAAAGCTAAGCTCAAGTGCAGTCTAAGGTTCAGCTTGCTGTACACTGTGCACATTTTTGTAACTCTTTTCTTTTGCTTTTTGGTGATTAGCTTTGATATACAACACAAAGAGTTCAAAGTACATGACAAATATTTAAAGTACTCTTTACTTTTCCATGACTAAACACTTGTAATTTTTCACCCTGTACGCAAATCCAAATATTAACTGTGCATTTTGTGTGTCTCTTTCAGCGAGTATTGATATTAATGTGCTTCTGATTGAGCTGTTTTCTTTTACGATTTAGTTTGTTTTGATCTCTCATCATTAACAGTAACATTTTGGTAGAAAAAAAGGAAGAATTAAAGATAAAGAAACTTAGTCGTGAATTTAAATTTCAGAGAAGAGGTATTATTGTCTGTACATTTGAGAATTTTAAATAAATTTAAAGGAAAGGAAACAGGGAAACTTTTTTATAATATAAATTGGTGTACTTATAAGGAAAAAGGTAACAGTTCTGCATAATATTCCTTTGTGAATGCAACGTACAGGGTATCAGCTATATTATTGGTTTCACCATATGTCATATTTTTCCCGACTTAACATTAATTCATTTCCTGTTTGTTTCATCGATTTCTTATCTACTTTCTGGCTGAATTTTCCACAATTAAATATACCACTTTTATGCACTCTCCCTGTCCTTATGCGTATAACACTTAAGAGCTACGGCCAGGTCGATTTATGCAGCTGGCTCATGCAATCAATATGCGTACGAATGTATATTAATTATGCCCTTCAACAATTCATGGGGGAAGAGGGAAAGGTCTGTTTTTTACTTCTTCTTGTATATATATATGTATATATATTTAACGGTGGCGAGCACCTTAAGCTACTTTCGGAAATGGATTTCATCATCAATTCGGCATCAGCACGCGCTCCAACGCGACTGCATCATCGCATCCATCGCCTGCGATTTCTTTTGCCGCTTTTCCCGCCGCCGAGTCATCAATAATCGTTGATCCGGCCAACTGGCCACGCCTCTTGCACCCTCCTGTCCGCCTCCAACAAGTGTCGTTGACAGCCGCTTAATGCTGCAACTCGCAACTCCTCCAGCGACAACATCTGCAACATCAGCAGTTGCCATTGCTTTTGGTGTTGCAGTTGCACTTGTGCTGCCAATATTCGCATCACCATCATCATCATCGTCGCGATTCTGAGTTGGCATCGCCATAGCCATTTGACAATTATAAAAGCATTTGACGCTAGATGCGAATGCGGATGCGGATGTTGCCGCCTTTGAATCTGTCACTTCGATGTTGGTAGTGGGATGTTGTTGCTGCTCTTGCTGTTGCACCTTCCCGTTCGGCGGCTTTGTGTATTGACAGTTGATAATTTGATGGCCCAATGGCCCTAGTAGCAGCAACAGAAGAAGAGCAGAAGTCGCCTCACCGCCCCCACAGATCCAGTGCCACGCCCCCGCCAACTGCCTGTTGATGGGAAGCTTTGTTAGCTGCGATGGCCAGAATCGCCAGAAGATTTCATGTGCAGCTGTCGAAGCGCCCGATGCCGTGTTATCCGCTGCAAATGGAGAGATAGACAGGTGAGGTTTATGGTACGAGAAAAAAATGAAACATTGCCATTAAAGGGGACTTCGTCTCTAACACAATTGGTACCTTTGTGAAAACTAAAGAAATGGAATTAAAGTTATCTTTCTTTTTGAAACTCCCTAAACTATTGAACCCTCTCTCTAAATTGTAATTGATTATAATTAGGTTTACTTCCTATTCACTTTAACTTCATAAAAATTTTCTTAGATGTTAAAGAATTTTGGGTGGGAAACGAAGGAAAATATTAGAGAAATCCAGTTTCCTACCAAAAAAAATGTATTTTCAAGCGTACTGTGTGAGTGGGAGTGTCAACAGTGCATTTGCATAAAGTTCATAGTGGAATGCAAGCAAGGAATCGGAACATGCAATCTCCCCATTCCTTCTACTTAATAACGAGGGTGGTTTGCAAACTTCCGTTTTCAGGGTTTCCCTTGGGCACTGTGGCAGAAATATGGTTGCATACGTTGATAGTTCGCTGCGATCCCACACCATTCCCCAGCTCGTTTCATCGGTAAGCCAGTGAACTCAATTTTAAATACAATTTTCAGCTCAATGCGTTTACACACTTGTTATTCCTGGTGTTGTCGTTACTTGGTGTTAAGTAAATGTTGTCGCTAGTAAGTGGCAAAAGGGAGAACCGCAAAGGGAACAGGGAGCAAACAAAAAAAAAAAAGAATATAGAAAAGGACCCACATTTTTGCCAGAGGCCCCGAATCACGACTCCATCCTGCACAGTCTGTCGCAATTCCGCGACAATCTTTCATGTCTAAACTTAGTTTATACCAATTTGATTTCCCCGCCATCTGATTCGATAAGCCTGCTCCTTGCTGCTCCTGGTTGTTAGCAGTCTGGCGAAATGTTTATGCTGCACAATTTTATTTACATAATTTACATTGTGTGCCCGACATCGACAGGATGCAGTGGGCTGAACTAAATGGGATACAGTCCATCTTCGTTGTTTGCCAAAGGCTTTACGTTTGCCTGAGATGGGATCACTTTAACGTATCGAATGTGCATACAGATCTTTTTCATTCTTTATCTTATTGAGAATAATAGCTACCTAGCTATTATAAGGATTAAAAATATGACAAAATCCGATTTCAGATTGGTTTGGCACTAGAAAATCAATAGTATTTTCTAGTGTTCCTATTCAATTTGAATTGTATATGAAACTAATAATGCTTTAAAGGCATGTTCTTTAATCTCCTTCATTTTGAAACCCAAAGTACTTACCTGAGTAGTAAGTCAAATAGGACTCGTTATGATCCTCATAGCCGCCCCTTTCACCATTCGTATGCTCCTCGAGGGGATAATTGTTGATGTCATACGATCTGCCTGAGGCCATTATCCTGGGCCGGTCCTCCTCGATGACACTCTCCATTTCCTCCTTGAAGATGTCAAAGATATTGGCCGTGCACTTGAGCTAACAACGGGAAATGGGAAATGTTGCGGGGCTTTATTAAAATCGGAACTGGTGCGGACCGTCGTATCCTTACCCTCATCTGGCTCTTGAGAAAATGTTGATTGGTGACCATGAAATGTATGGCACTCGTAACCGATTCTAGGGTGCTGTTCTCCCGCTTCTCTGTCTGGTAAGTCTTTATGTGATGCGGTGGTACCTACAAGAAACGTGCACGAATAATGTCAAGTGGTATCTCGAGTTTACAGCGAAATCAATTTGTATATATTCAGATCAAATCCTTTTTCGATGAAGTGCGCCGCAATATGAAAGCGAAAACTATTCCCCAAAGCTGACACTTTTGCACCGAAAAATAAAAGCGACCACGCCAGAGAGGCCGAGGCAAATTTATAACTTATGAATGATGAATAGATTTACGCTTGAGTGATTAACTAGAGCAGATGATGGTGATGCTAAAGCTGATGACGATGATGATGGCAACGACGGAAACGATGGCAGGGGCAGGAGCCAAAGGAGATGGGTGAGCTGTGTCGAGAAGACGAGGCCACTTTGTTTGCGGTGAGTTTAGTTTGAAGTGCTTGGCAGATACGATGCCCTAACCAGCACCACCCATACCATTTAGATCACCCGCACCACCCACAACTGACAGCACACATGATGGCTGCGGGGCGGTGGGTGAGTGGTGCTCCTGTTGAAATGCGCTCGTTAGCTAAAAGATCAAGTGGCCGCACCCACTGCATGGCCACCCACTGGAGGCAACACTCAAGTGCTGTTTGTGTTAGTTTTCCTGCTTTATTTTCATATATTTATAAATATATGCTTTTGCTGAATTGCATTTTTTGATGGCGATTAAATCCGAAACTTTGAATTTTTAAATAGCATTTTATTCATGATTAAAAACAAAACATTTGCTGATATTTTTTAATCGATTTTCCTATCCATTCCATTTTTTAAGTTAAAATGCAATTCACCGTGAATTGGTTTTGGGGCTCTATTTTAATTAAGAAATATGAATGCATTAACAACTTAGTGTAAGTTCTAGGTAGCTTTAGTAATTCTGTTTTATTTTGATTTAATTTGCTTTAAACCGTTTAATGTGCCACTAAAACCCATTTTAAAATAATTTAAGTATAGAGTTTGGAGACCTTCTTAACTTTTTGTTTGTGTGTGACATATGTATACCTCTTGACTCGTAAAACAGACCTTATTTACTTTGGAGTTAAACACTGACTAAGCCCAACCAACTTACAACTTGATCTCTCACCTACAAAACCACACATAAAGGCCGCAAGTTTGAAATATGACTTGCAGGGGCCACGGTGACATTGACAACGCATTTACTATACTCCAGCTGCCACCAGGTAACCCAGTGTCTGGATTGGGGAAACAATAACAATAACACCAGCCAAAAGTCTGGGAGAAAGGCCGTAATGTTCTGGGCCGCCATAAAAACGCCAGAGAAAAACTAGCTGACAACCTAAACGTTTCTTGAAAAACCAAACGCAAAATGCCAGGACATGTCAGGCATCCTTGCAGCCCCGCATCACACCTGTGCAATCATGCGGAGAGGAGAGGCATGACAGCAGCTGGGCGCAAACTGGCAGGAGGCACTGCGGCGGTGAGCGGTGTAGCGGTGTGACCTCCTGTTGGAGTCGACAGTCGACTGCTGTGGTTGCGGCCATAAAACATCCCGACCAGCCCATTCCATACCTTTCCATTTCCGCCCAGTACGGCCCATCCTGGCAAAAGCGAAATGGCATAAAAACTGACGGCATATCAAAAAATGTATATAACCGAAGAGCCGAAAGAAAAAGCGGGTTCTAGGCAAATATAAATGCCAAAAGATGGCCTGTAGAATGGAAACGACGCACTCACAGGTGCCAAAAAGTATGCAACAGACGAGGAATGAAAAATCGTATACTAAACGAAAAAAATTGCAAAACCCACTGGCCACGTTTCATCTGGTTTTTCGTTTTTTAAACAAGTTGATTGATCAAATGCGAGGAGGCAATTAAAGAGTTTACTATTTAATGAACTTCGATTTGAAACAGTTCAAATAAAAGCAAATATTTTCAAACGATTTGCTCGCTTAATTTGTGTTGCAATCTAGGTAAATCGTTTTTCGTGTTATAAATATTCCTGAAATAAGTTTGAATTGTCCTTTAAAAACTAACATGTAAAATAATGAATATTATGTATATTTACTTTGCAATGCAATATTTCGGAAAATTAATAGGTTTTTGGACTAGGGTATAGTTGTGCTTTTTCTGTATTTCGGATACAAATATTTAGCAGGCACAATATAAAAATAACAATATATAATATTTTAAAATATTACAACTAAAATCATTTAGTATTTTACTACTTTAGCTTTTTAATTCAGAAAAGTACCTAATTTCCACTTAAACTTGCATTGGCCAACCGCTTATTCCCACTCAAAGTGCATTCGAACCCAAATCGAAGTGCCAGCCCCACTCTTAACCAATGACTAATTGAAAAACTGGTGGCCCATCAATAGAAAGCGATCAAAGACCTAAGTTCACCGTTTTCCGATTGCCGAGCTAATTGAAGGGCGGAATAGGAGGAATGGGCGTGTCCGGGTGCGGATAACAGTGGTAAACGAAACCAAAACTTACCACAATACCATTAATAGTCCATGTCAAATTAGCAGCCGGTTTCGAGTATTTAATTGAGCAATTGCCGTCGACCAAATCGCCGATGCGATAACGTGCCTGTATCCCGGTAACCACAGTGTGCTCTTCCGGCAGCTCTGCAAAAAGTGGGCCAAAAATAGAGGGGCACTCGTTAGCCAAGGAATGGAGATGTAAAATTGGCCAAAAAGGACGAAGCCGGTGGCAGGCTCAAATAGATTTGTTCTAATTAATTTGCTTGCCTCCACAGCCGCTTCGCCTTTCCATTAGCCCATTGCAATTCTTAACGCTTTATAGTAGATATATATATATATACTTTTTTTTATTTCTATTTTTTCACTTACCAACCACCTCCATTTCACCGGACACCATGGCCGTTTGAAAAGTGGGCGCCTCCACGGATATTTCGCATGTAAATTTTCCCGAAATATTCAACGGCACCGACTGCAGGACGACGTGGCTCTGATTCGAAAGGTTGCGCTTGAAAAAGAAGAAAGCGAGTAGTGAAAGTCAGCTCAGTTGGCGGGGAAATGAAGAACGTAATAAAAATTAGTTCGTCCGAAATTGGCTGGACGCGGTGCAAAGAAATTGAATAGCGAACCAGTGACACAGCGAGTGGCAAGTGAAAAATGAGATGGGAAAAATATGAAAATGTTTCCTTGGCTCTTGGAATGATGAAAAGCACAGCTGCTGGTTGGGTGAAGATTGTTTGATGAAAAGTGTCGGCAAATGGAGGGCATAAAGGTGAAGGATTGATTTTAAAAGCTGAAGGGGTAATCTTCACTTGATTAAGTTTTTCTTTGAGTCAAAGCAACTTGGCGCAAGATTTTGAGGTAGCATCTTTCTTATTTCACTATTTTTCATGGACTCTTAGGTTCTAATAATTTGAAAGTAGGAAGTAAATCTTGATACACCTAAAGTGCTTAAAAAATGCATTAATTTATGTACAATTTTATGTAGAACGGAAAATAAATATCAGCTATAGAAAGAATTATTTTAAAATAATTGGGTTCGCTAAGACTTAACCAGCTTTTTTGGCTGAAACTCTTTTTAATCTACAATTTGTAAACTCTGGCCTTTGTTTAAGCTCTTCAAACATAAATCAGGATTTTATTTTGATTATAAAGCTGGCGCAGTTTAATCTTTCGAAGAGAAAATGGGGAAACCTCATATAACAATTCACTTAATAAAAATCAAATTTAATAAATTGCATTTAATATTGTGCGTAATTTTCAGGAAAAATAATTGTCACATAAAAGCAGTGGAGAGGTCAAAATTAAGTAGGTGAAGTGGTGGGCGGCATGGATGTAGTTCCAGAGGATCAATGACTGAAGCTCGTGCGAATGTTTAACCCAATTTGTTGCCGCTGATACCTAATTGGCCCTTGTGTACTTCGCCGGAATAATTAAAGGTGTCTATAATACTCTTACAATGGGTATGTAAAGGTGGGATTATGGATGTTACATTTTGTGAAAGAGGTAACTATGTTACCCTTTTTATAAATTTATATTTAAAAAAATCTATCTTCTTTCCCTTTTTATGTGTGGATGTGTGGTAATTAAGAAAATAAAAATTCAAATTTTACAAAGTGTATTTAGAGCTTCGCTTTACGGTAGCCTGTGTTATATTTCCCCTGATGGCTTATGCAATCTGTATATATTGTTTTTTAATGAGCCGCAAGTCAATCGCAAGCGCGACTAATTGGCCACGCCCAACAACTCTTAACGGATCCGTCTCCGGATGGACTGGCATAATTACAACGGGCAGTGGGGCAAATAAGCCGGCAAATGTCGTTATGAAAACGAATCCAGCCGGGGTCGTGGCAATCAGCCATTATGGATATAATTTACACGCACTGCAGTAACATGTGCGCGTTATGGGGAAACGGAGTTAAGGGGAATTATCCATATCCACGGCGAAGTCTGGGCACTGTACTTACCTCGACATTGAGACCACTTGTCATGGCAAAGACCTTCATAGCCGGATTCTCCTTGGGCGTATAGCGATAAAACTCACGCTTGCCCTTATACCATTTTACCGAATATAGAGTATCGTTTTCCATATCGTAATTACACGTGAACAGCGCATTGCTGCCACGTTTCACCGCCTGTGGTATCATTACCGACACATCCTTGAGTGCCACAATAAAATCTGCAAATAAATGAGTTTGGGGGTAAGTGAAATATGCATGAGTCTGGCGGGGTTCGTAAATATTAAGTGTGTTTTAAAAATATACTATTAAAAGTATAATTAGCTTTGCTTAAAAGCACTTAAAAGTGCGGTAGTATGTGGACTTATTTTAGGATGGTAAATAAAACTTAGCTTTTCATTTTACCATACCATTTCGCTATTTTTTTTTCTATTTTTTCTTCCCCAGAAATGACAACCAGAAAGGTGAGTGGAAAATTGACCTTTCCCCTTACGGATTCCGATTCGATGCTAACTACTATGCCAACTCTTCCTTTGAAAAGCGAGTGGCCAGCTGACCCAACCGCTGCCCTCCGTTCGATGTTTCGAATGACAACGCAAAATGTTGCAAGCAAAGTAGAATTCCACACAACCACCGATTTCTCAACTTTCTCCCCTTTTTTCTCGTTCCTGTCATTTGGCCACTCTGATAAAGTAATTTGGTAAGAAAAAAGTGACTCAAAGTTATAAAATATTAAATTTGTAGTATAGAAAATTTTGGTCAAACATATATACCAAGCTAGCATAAACTTAATATTTTTGTGGTAAAAGTGTTTGCGGAATTACAATTATTTCGTTAACATAACCTCGTATGTGAAAAAGTTTATAATTCTATAAATATAACATCATAAAAAGAATTTACTTAAAAGTCACCTAGAATAAGCTGTTCGCAACATTAATTAAAAACTTTTTGCAGTGCATGTTGTTTTTTGTTTGGCTGCCTCCGGTTTGTTTTTTTCTGGTTGTACCGGTGCACAATGCTTTTGTTTCCCATATTGACCCATATAACGAGCGAGCACTTTGTTGTGCCCTCCGAACTCCTACCTCCGACCTCCGAAGTCGGACCCGCAGTTGATGTGGCTGCATTTATCGAATGGCGCACAAAATTGTCCTTCAGCTGCACATTGTTGTTTAGCACTGACCACCGCCCGATTCCTAGATTGCCCAGATACCCGGATACCAGAATGCCCGGATAGGCAACACTCAATCCCCGCCCCAAAGAACCACAGCAAGAACAACAACTTTCCCTGCCATTTTATTTTGTTATAAAAAACTTTTACAATCTACGTTTGCTAAGTATTTTAACTGCTTTTCCTGGTTAGATGTGTGTGTGGGTCCCTACCTTTCGCAGTGATATATGTACGTGTGGCTATGCAATATAAACCAATGAAAATTGCAGGGGCAACTCTTCGTATCATTCACTTTCCTTCCCTTTACCATTGGGCAGGAGAAAGTTCTGTCTCCCTGCTTTGGGTGTTTATCTGTCAGTTTATGTTTACAAATGTCCACTTTTAATGGTTCACCATTTAACTGGAGGGACGCCAGCCTGAACCCCAACAGAACTCAACAAAAGTTGAGTATCCTGAGAGAAAGTGTAGACTACTGGGATGCTACTGCTTGACATGCTTTATCATACGTATTGTTGTGTTCCTTTATGTGGCCTTTCATACTTCTGCATTGGATTCGTCTCATTTTGATTTCTTTTATGTGGTTGTATTTTTGTTATGACTTCTATAAGCCATTTCTAATGACTACTTGTCTGCTATCTGCTGGCCATCATTAGTTTCAAGTCATGCTTGAACTATCTTTAATTGCTTATTCTCCAAAACAATACAAATACAAATTTCCCAAATTAAATCAAACTTTTGTTATTTTATAATTCTAGCTCTAATTATTGTTTAGTTTTTTAATGTTTCTTTTGTAGTCGATGCACAAATATTTACAATAATTAATCCACCTGTTTTTTAGGTTTTAAAATACAGCACATTAATTTGGCAACATAAATTGCAAAGCCCTAGTGGATCTCTAAATAAGTAGTTTTAGCTTGGCTGGCTTACTGCAGCTTATTGCAAAAAATGTTTACAAATTTATGTTCCGGTTTAAGCTGGCGTTTTTATTGATTTTGCACTCGGTTGAGCCGTTGACCGCAGCTCCAATGAATATAATTTGCAATAAAACTTTGCAGACGAAATGCATTTAATTTGGGCACATTAAGTTATATTAAAAGCTGATCAAAAGTTAAGCAGCAAAACAAAGTGCCAGACAACACAGACAAAACAAACAAATGGAAGAGGGACGGTGCCGAAATAAGGTCTTCTCTAAGTTGCCTTGTAAGTGCTTCTCACACTTAAGTGAAGACCTCAAAAATGTATTATTCTACATATATATATATTTATAGTATATATAGCAGACTCAAAGCAGACTCTAGACCGAGACGCGACCACAAAACTCGGCCAGGAAAAAAGGAGAAGCTCAACGGGAAAACGGCAACCGATGACGACGATGGGTATTGTAACTGACATGGCTGTCAACACTGTAGCCATTGCCAGGACCTCGACCATCACCCGAAATCCTCGTCCTGTCCCATCCATCCGTCTCCCCACTTTGCAGTCATTTCAACTTTGGAATTTCAATAAGAGCCTCGGTGAGTGAAAATGCCGCAGGTGGTAGGCACACAGAGTGCCGGGTCGATGGGAAAACCAAGTTGCCGGCTGGCATAAAGAAAGGCAAATAAACCAGAAAAGTAAATACATAAATTAAAAGTGTAAAGGCGAAAAATGTTTAATTCGCGAATGGATGCGTTGGGATGTACTCAAATGGAATGGATTGGCTGAAGGACTGAGGCAACAAGGTGGCGCAATGTTCCCCTTAATACAGTCACGCCAATAAAATATGAGCTTTGGTCTAAGGTGCCAGAAATGAAGGGCTTTTGTAAAACGGTTTGAAATCATTTATTTTACGGTTAGTGAAGTAATGATTTCTTTTGCTTACGAATTCAATAAAATATATAGTAATACTCCTTATTTAAAGTAATTGTTCTGAAAGGTTAAATACTTCTACTTTTCGACTCACAGCAACGTTGGAAGTAAATTAGAGAACATTTTTTTAAAATTTCAGCCTGATTGAACTTCATCCACTAAATCTTTTGCACCCACCACCACTTGCCAAAGTCAAGTCGCAAAAGTAATGCGTTTTTATACTTTTTTTAAGCCAAATCTAACTGGCCATTTTTCTAGCCAGCTCCAAAACCATTTTCAGTCCCTTCTTTTCCCTACACTTTTCTCGTTCTGTGTTTTTCCAGGCTTTTGGTTTATTTTTCAAACAATTTTTTATCATCAGCTGTCAATAGTTCGGGCAGCTGACCCACCGAAAGGAGCAACCAAAACGAAAAATAAGCTAGAAGGAGATCAGGCGGGTAAGGGCTTGGGTGGAGAAAAGAATAAAAATCATTACATAAAAAATGTTTTATGTTTTGCTATTGCAACTTTGACCAGAGCAACAACTGCAGCGAAAAGGGTGAAATTATTTTTTTTTGCTGGGCTACATGCTCCCTGGCTTTGGAAATAGTCCAAACTTGCACGTATAAATACATTTTTGATGCCGACTTTGTTGCTCTTGTTGTTTGTGCAGCTTCATTGCTTGCCATAAAAACTAAAAAATCGCCAAATAGAAATAAACGCATTTTTATATGTATCTGTATTTATGAACCCCATAAATATGTCAAATAAATTACGAAACAGTCAAAATATTGTGCCATGTTTGTGTTGCCAATGTGTTTGTGTTTATGTGCGAAGTCATATATGACTATTGGGCCACATTTTCGAATATTTTTTTGGTAGGTATAAATCTGCTGCTGTATTGACTAAACTTTATTTTCGGCTTTAACTCGGTTTGAAGAGTGTGCTCTTGTTCCAAATTGTAAATAGGAATGTAGTAAGAAAGGAATTGTATATTTTACAAGTTATTATAACTTTTACTTTCAAAAATATTTATTTTAATGAGAATTTGTATTTCTAATCAGATACAAGAGCGCCATGGTGTATAAATTTAACATTTATATTTCATTTATTTCATATTAGCTTCCGTTCAGTTGAACCCACTCACAAAATGGGCGTTGCTTGTTCAGCATTTGATAATTTGATACTCCAATTCGAAAAACCCGAACACAAAAACCTCTATCTCTAAAATTGTCCGCTAATTTGGGTTTTCTCTTTTGTTGGCTTTCTGTTTTGGTTTTGGGTTGTGTTTTGTTTTGTTTTGTTTTTAGAGTGTCATAAAATTTTGCGGCCAACGTTTTGGCCCCAATGACAAAAACAAAATCGGAAAGAGTGCGAACAAAGCTCAGCCCGCAGACAATTTCATTAGGGGAGAAGTTAAAAAAAATTACTCACATTATGAGATACTCAATGGCAGCAAAAAAGGGGCCAAAAGCCTAGAAATGAGGGTGACCGAAGGCAGTAAAAAGCGAAAACCAAATGCAGAGTTTCGCAGTTTTCGGCATTTACCAAAATGTTTGTCACTGCAATGCCTGCTACTCTCATATGAGTGTGTGCCTGTGTGTATAAGCAAAGGACACATTGTCCTGTTTGTTGTTGTGTTCTTTTTTTTTGTGTGTTTTATTTTTACTAGGGGAAATGGCTGGGCGGAGGGTCATTTGGGCGCTCTATGCGCTGGGGCTATTAAATAAACATGCAAATTATTGCGCAATTTTTGATTACGATTTTTCAACACGAGGATGGCATCGCCACCACTACCAACAACAACAACAGCATCGCCTCTCTCCTGCATATTTGTATATGTAAATCGAGCCACCACACCCGAAAGCAGCCTGCACCACAATACGCCCCGTGGATTCACCCTGCAATCTTTGCATGCATTCAACACTCAACGCCTATTTTGCATACAAATTTGATTATTATTGTATTGAATTGGAGCCGCGACAATGGCGACAGACTCCCACTGTTGTGTGTGTTTTGTTTGGTTTTTCGCCACTCTGGTTTGCCGATTTTCGTTTTTTTTCGGGAATTATGTTAAATGAAAATCTGTGCTATTTTTAGCATGACACTTGTTCGTTGGCATTGTGCATCACTTTAAATTGAATATATCAAAAAGCTTCTGAAAATGCGGAATTAAATATTTTACTCAAGATTTTGGCATAAGTAATAAAAAGAATTAAAAAAGCC